GAAGAACAATGTTGACACGACGATTTTCTCCTGAGGTTCACGTGCTTGCCAACACGTTACGTCCCCGTTGTGTCGACCGCTCACTTGGTGGTTCGATGGCTAATTGACATCACCCGCCAAGCCTGCACATCGGGCACCACAAGAACCTACCCCAAAAGTGAGGGTAGCTCAATGACACGCTCAACTAAAGTTGCTCTTCGCGGCTCTCGTGGGGTGAGCACAATGCCCCTCACAAAGCTCTTCTCTGGAGCACCGCATAAGCTTCTTGCGGGCTTTGACGGAGACCACCACCAAGCCATCTAGGAGGTGGCAATTTCCAAGAGTAATAAGCACCACCGGCTTACAACTCGATCACATAGTGCCACTTGATGCAACCTCACGATGCAATCGCACTAGAATCACTCACTCACTCAATCGGATAAATACTATCAAGCTAGAGTGAGTTAGAGGGCTCCCAAGCACTACCAAGCATGGATACAAAGTCCTCCAAGGTGCTCAGCACCAGCCATGGCTGAGACCACCTTCTATTTATAGACCCACGGGCTAAAATAGTCGTTATCCCTTCACTGGGCAAAACTTGGGATGACCGGACGCTATGGTCGTATAGACCGGACGCACCCGGTCCAGCGTCCGGTCAACGGATGCACGCCACGTATTGCCTTCGTTCAATCCCAGTCGCTTGATCTCAACGGTCAAGTGATGACCGGACACAACACAGTGCCAAGACCGGACACAGGACCCCAGCGTCTAGTCACTTCTAGAAAGGTTCCAGTCACGACCGGACGCGTTCGGTCACGCCCGACCGGACCCACCCCGCGTCCGATCACTCTCTCTCTTCTCTGCGTGCCGTCACATCAGCATGATCGAACGCTGAACAGTGTTCAGCCAGAGTCCGATTGCCTGCGTCCGGTCACAGGTCGAGAGTACCATCTTCTTTTATAATTGACCGGACGCTGCTCCCCAGAGTCCGATCACCATGTGCCCAGCGTTCGGTGCACTCTATGAAACCCTATCTTTTCTGTACAGGGCGCCGGTGGCACCGTCGGACTATCCATTTGCATTGTTGTTTTGTGCATTGTTGATAAACTAGATAACCATTTGCATCATTATTTGTGCTTGTACTCTGTTACTATCATGAGCTTCTAAGTTGACTTGAACTAAATTGATTTTCCTAAGCCTCCAAGTTTGGTTTGATCCAATAATAAGCTTCTTCACACCTCTTACAAGAGTTATCTTGCCAATGTTGTACTTGTCACTTGTTAGCAATCCAATTTAAGTCAAGTATTTGGATTCACTAGCTCATGAACAAATTCAGATCAACCAGACGCACCCTGCCAGCGTCAGGTCAATGGATGCACGCCACGTGTCACCTCCGTTCAACCTTAGTCACTTGAACTCAACGGTCAAGTGATGACCGGATGCAGCATAGTGCCAAGACCGGATGTACTTCCACCGAGTTCGGTCGTTTCTAGAGAGGTTCCATTCATAACTAGACGCGTCAGTTATATCATGACCGGACGCAGACCAGCTAGAGTTCGGTCGTTTCTAGAGAGCTCCTCGAGCCTCTAATTTATGACCAGACACGTCCGGTGCTGCACGACCAGATGCAGACTAGTGTCCAATCAGCTCTGTGCCCGTGTGCCAACTTTCAGCATTGCCTATGTCACCATACGTCAGCCTGACCGAACGCAGGCCCTGACCGTCCGGTCATGCTTTGCGCCAACGTCCGGTCACGAGACCGAGACCGCGCGCTCACAGCTGCTACTAACTAGACGTAGGGTCAGAGTCCGATCACTGTGTGACCAGCATCCGGTGCACTCTGTGGAACCCTATCTTTTCTGTATAGGGCGCCAGTGGCACTCCATCGATGAAGTTTCGAACCCTTCTCGCCTCTGTTTCATCACCGAGTTGATCCACATCAACTCCAACTTCATATCCTTTATAAATGTGCCAACACCTACCAAGTGTACACCACAATGTATATGTGTGTTAGCATTTTCACAATCATTTCCCAAAGGATTAGCTACTCAACTTAGCGATGATGCAAAGTTAGATCACACGAGTGGCACTAGATGACCGATATGCAAACAAGTTTGCCCCTCTTGATAGTACGGTCATCTATCCTAAACCCGGTCATCAACTTCTCTACACACCTATGACCGGTGAAATGAAATGCCCTAGGTTATACCTTTGCCTTGCGCATTCCATTCCATCTCCTCCAATGTCGATGCAACACATGCACCAACACAATCAACAATGATATGATCCACTTCATATCATCACGTGATCATATTGGTTCATCGATCTTAACTTTACTTGCTTTTCACCGTTGCCTTCGTCCATCGACGCCAAGTCTTGCTTAAGTTTCACCACCATGTGGTTCATTGCTCCAAAGCCTCCGACTTTCCCTTCACTCTTGCAACCGGTCCATCAAACTAAGTCATGTCTTGATCTTCTCCACCTTGATCACATGACTCAATGTCATGTCTCATGTACAATGAGCTCCTTCACCATCACATGTGTGAGCCTTGCAACATCGGCGGAGCCATCCCTATTGACATCTACAGGATCGGCGGGACCCGCATGAAGGAGAAGAAGGACTCGGCGATCCTGAAAGCCTTCTTCTCTCTCGTTCTTCTCCTTTTCATCCACTGTAACCTACGCTTTTCCTTTGCTTATAAAAGGGAAGCATGGCGCCCCATGAAGGGGGATCTAGATCTACACAAGACCGAACCACGAGATAAAAACATAAGAGCACGACACGAGCACACGGCTGAGCAGTGATCGAGCTCTTAGCACCCGTTCACTCCTTTCACCAGAGACTTGGGATCCTTTCCCTCTCTCGCCTGTTTGTGACCCATACTGCAAACCAAGTGCCGGTAACACGAGCAGCAGCAAACTAGACGTAGGGATGTTTCGCCCGAACCAGTATAAACCCTTGTGTCCTCCGAGCACACCATCCGAGCCAGACGCGCAAATACAATTTTACTCGTCGGTGGTCCGAAAACACCGATAGTCCAGGACCTGCATATGTCGTGTGGTAAGAAAACCCCAGCTAGGCCTAATCGATTAGAATCGTCGTGCTCCTCGGTTATGTAGACTCGACCCTCTAACCATACATCGTAGTTAATCCATGGAATATGGTTACTTATGGAAATGGCATGAGAAGAGATGAGATGCTTAAAAAGTGATTGATTTAGATCAGATGCAAATTGGATACTAATAATGACTCAATACACAGCTAACATATTGAAAGTAAGGATCCACTCATAGTAAGCTTTTCTGCAGAAGTTATTCTTGCTTCTACCTTACCTTTAAACCTGCATACCCTTGGAGTCTTTTCTTTAGTCGGTTAAGACATGTTGAGTACCCTCATGTACTCAGGGTTTGTTAACCCCTGTTGCAGGATCTGACTCATGCTGATAATTGAGGTCATGTCAGTGGGCTCGACATGATCTGTCTATCTCTTATATTTTAGATGCTTCATCTAAGTTCCTTCTGTAGATCTAGTCACCTTTTGGAACTTAAGTTGAGTTTTTACCGAGCATGTTTTGTAAACTAATATTATAAGTCTTTTCGCACTTCGATGTAAGTTATTTTGTAACAAGTGTTGTAATGTTGTGGTAACTCCATGTTGATCCTGTATGAGTTGTAAAATGTGGATGATTCGGGGTTCCCCGATGACACCCGACAGACTACCGGAGTTATCTGGCTCTCGTGTGCAGCAGTCAGAGGTCTTTAGGACGATGACGGGTGCATGTGGACCATATAATTTGGGTGGTTTCTACCACAATGTACATAGCCATGGATTAGTATTAGTGGGGCTATTATTGCCTGAGTGTTTTTTTCTTATATTTTTTTGGGCTACGTGTGAATATCTTCTACTATTTGAATCTTTAAAGTGTATTAATATGAACATGTCTATTCCGTATCATTATCGGACGTAAGTCGTTCTAACTCATGAGCACATATCGTAAGTTAAGATCACATATAGAACATAGAGGGCGTGGTGATATTTAGAACTAAAAGAAGTGGATTAGAAGAATGGCTTCGTGCTTTAATATTAAAAAAACCAGCAAACGTGCCTGTACGCTGCAACTTATGAGCACGAGCTGTAAATCTAGATCACATACAATAATAGAGGGCATATTGGGAAGTAAATAAGTGGCATGAAAGAAACGTTGTACTCTTGAATATTATATATAATATAGGTATGTTGCTCGAAAAAGAAAGTATAATAGATATGTATCTAGATAGATAGATATAAGTTGTGCATCTCTGACCGCAAATCATATATGTCAGTTACTTTCCTCTAATACTTACTCCCTTTACTAAAAAGATGTAATTATTATTTTTTGATAAGTCAAATAATTTCAAGTTTAACCAATTTTATATGAAAAATTATTAACATTTATGATGCCAAATAAGTATTGTTAGATTAATTATGAGATATATGTTTATAATATAAATTTATTTATGGATATAAATGTTAATATTTTTTATAAAATCAGTTAATAAACTTTTAAAAAATTAACTGATCTCAAACTCAACGGCGAGAATCGAGAAGCCGCTCCCGGAGCCCGGGGCATTTTTATATTTACCACTATTATGGATGATATCTTATACTGTGTCACTGACGCATGAGTCATTCTTATACCACTCACATGGCCGTAATGATAAATATGTAAAAAATGGCCTGAGCCCTGGAAAGGTTGGAAGCATCCATCAGCCCGTTGCCTCCGTATCGCATTCGCACCACCTCCGTACCCTCAGATCCCCTCCGCTCCAAACAAGTCTCGTCACGAGAAGAACCGGGCGACGCCTGCAACGGCCCCAAGGCCCAAACCACGAAAGCCAGGAGTCGGCACTCGGCAGTCGAGTCGAGTGGCGGCCTTCGAGATTTCGTCGTTGTTCGTCGCAGCCCAGAAGAGAAGGGGCTACGGCGCGGAGTCGGCGAGTTCCGGGTGGAGCCTGGGTTCGATTCGGTGATCGGCGGCGGAATGGGGGTGCCAGAGGCGGTGGCGCTGGAGATACCGGCGGTGGAGGAGGGGTCGCCGACGCCGCTGGCCAGGGTTCCACCCAGGATCAGGCGGAGGCTCCTCCGGGCGTGGGGCAGCGGAGAAAACGGCGGCAAGGCGCCGACGACCGAGGAGATCGAGGCTAAGCTACGCCAGGCGCATCTCCGGAGGCAGGTGTGTTTGTGTTCTCCCTTCTCCCTCACGTGACGTAGAAATTACTTCTTCATTTTGTCCCTGTTGGTTTTGTCGGTGGATTGATTGGTCGAGATGTTAATGTGCTTTGTTTATTTATTTAACCGAACTCGGGTTAGAATTTCGTGTTTGTTGGTGTAGTTGCGAGCGGGGATTTTTTTTTACATGTTTCAGTAATAATATGTAGATCAAAATGTGTCGGTGGATGCTGAACTCTGCGTTAGCTTAGGAGCAATTAGCAGTCTACCATGCCACACGTATTAGTTGATCAAATCCGGTGTAGCATCATCCTTGACTTGGAGTAATGGAGTGTTACGTTTACTTGCCAATTCTATGGACTCTGGAAGCTCACGCTTGGTTAATTCACTACTGCAAGCCCATTTCTGTATTTTCCTAGTTTATAGGTAAAACTTGATTAGGTGGATTGGTGAACTCTTCATTAGCTTAGGAGCAACTAGTCGTCTAGGACGCTGTACCTGACCACATTCAGGAGCAGCATGACAATTGACATGAGAATTGAGATGTATCTGGAAGCAACTCTGTGGACAAAGGAAGCTCATGCTTGGCTAGTTAGCTTTCTCAGAATTTGAGTTATGCTGGTAAAATGAGTTTTCGCTAAGTCCTGTATCTTATATGGCTTGCTATTCTCCAGCAATTCCACGAAGCATTGTCCTCCAAAGCAAGGCGCTCAATTAAGAGTCCTTCAGGGTCATCACAGGAGGAGGACCGAGGGCAGCTTCTTGAGGCAAAGCTTGTGGCTGCCAAGCAGAAGAGGTATCCAAAAGAGGAACCCAGTAGAGTACATTACTCTGTTGTATTTGGGAAAAAGGACTGAAAGAACTCGTACCCTTTGTAGGTTGAGCCTCTTGGAAAAGGAACAGAGCCGGTTGGCTAAGCTGGACAAACAGCGACATGCTGTTAAGAGTGATGCAGAGCTGAGGTTCGAGAGGGAAAGGGAAGAACTCGGAATGAAAGTTGAATCACGGGTTCAGAAGGCCGAGAACAATCGTATGCAACTCCTGCATGCTCGTTTGCAGAGGCGGGCTGCATTAGAGGAGAGGACAAAAAGATACTTTATGCAAAGACTGACTTGGGAAAACAAGTACAGGGAGCGTGTACGATCTGCAATACAGAAGTGTAATGCTGCTGAGAAGAGACGATTGGGGCTGCTGGAATCTGAGAAAAAACGGGCACAGGGTAGGCTCTTGCAGGTTCAACTTGCTGCGAAGACTGCCTCTAACCAGAGAGAAACTGAGAGGAGCAAGTTAAAAGAGCAATTAGAAGAAAAGCTTCAGAAGGTATGCATTTCTGTGATGCAGCTTTGATGTAACCATTTTAGCTCTTTAACTTGCGTCATAACCATCTATATATATGCCAAAATAGGCAAAGCAGCAGAGGGCTGAGTATTTGAAGCAGCGAGGAAATCCTCACAGTTCTATGCACAGCAGTTCAGTTAAAAATGGAGAATTTCTTTCAAGAAAACTGGCAAAGTACGTCTCATAGCACATTCTGCAATTTCCAATTAATTCTTTGGCTTCCATCTGCAGCTTATGATTCATTTCATTTTTTGGGACTTCAGATGCTGGAGAAGACTCAGAACTTCTAGGAAAACAACAGTGGTATTGGCTAGGGCCTTTGATGCACTGGGGATAAATCAGCGATCAGTTGTGTCTATGCCATTTGAAGAATTAGCTCTCTGCATTGAATCTCCTGCAGTACTTCAGACCACTAAGGCGTTGCTTGACTGTCTGGAGAGTCGTTTTGCCTTCCCTCAGTCATCAAGTTCATCAGAACCAGAAAATATTGACCACCTTCTAAAGCATCTAGGATCACCGAAGAGGAGGTTCCTACCGAGCAATGTGGGAAGAAGTAAAGCAACAATGAAAAAGGCAGTTGGAAATTATGACTCCAGTAAGCTGTCTAGATATTCGCAAAGGATTGCACTTTGTGCTTATATGATACTAGGTCATCCAAAATCTGTTCTTAGTGGACAAGGTGAGCAAGAGAAATTGCTTATGGAATCAGCAACAATCTTTGTGAAGGAATTTGAACTGCTGGTTAAAACTGATGGATAAGTCTCATGTGTGGTCTTTGTGGGGCTGTACTGCTCACATGGTCCTTGTAGCTGTTTTTCTGCTTTTAGGACAGCATCTTAGACTAGAGGACAGCAGGACAGCATCTTAGAGGATAGCATCTTAGACTAGAGGACAGCATATTAGCATCTTAGACTAGCATCTTGGCATATGCTTGGCTGGCTAGCAGCCTATAAATATGTAACCCCAACCCCTCAGGTTGGCATGGCATTTGAGTAAGAAATAGACAAGAAAAATTGCCCCAACTCCTAGTGTCATCCTCTCGATGAGAGTAAGAATTCTTCTACTACCAAGAGTGAGAATTCAGCGACTAACAAAAACAGTACTTGATGCTCTAGATGGTGCATGCATATTGAGTCCGTCAGTTCTAGATGATGCCACTCCTGGTTGTTCTAGCTATGATGAATCTTCATGTATTGTTGCTGATCTGAAGAAATTCAGAACCCAGCTGGTTGCCTTTGACAAAGCTTGGTGTGCTTATCTTTGCCATTTTGTGGCATGGAAAGCAAAAGATGCTAAATCATTAGAGGATGATCTCATTAGGGCTGCATGCAAGCTTGAGCTGTCAATGATCCAAACGTGCAAAACAACTAATGAAGGCGAATCTGATAACCTCGGTGGTGATTTGAAAGCCATCCGGAAACAGGTATGATTTGTATATTCAGTTCCTATTCTTTCTTGTTCATTTTTTGCAATCAGCCTTGAGGTGCATTGATTCATCTATTATTAAAATACAAGGATCAAGCTAAAATTGAACACTTCGTCCATTAATCTTTATGCCCTCTTATTGACATCTTCAATAGCAAACTATCTTTTGAATTAAGTTTTTGTTCCTCATCCAGGTCGCAGAAGACCAGAAACTTTTAAGGGAGAGGATTCAACACCTGGGCAGTGAAGCTGGTATTGGAAGGATAGAATCTGCTTTATCTGAAACACGGTCAAAGTTCTTTCAAGCAAAGGAGAACAGGAGTTCTGTTGCAACTACTGCAAATGTAGCATCTCCTTCAGTTACATGTTCTTCAGGACAGTCTAATGTTTCTGAAACTGGGAGAATTGTAACATGGATGCCGAAAAGACAAGCCGAGTTGTCAAATCTCTGTTTGGAGCTTCCTCTTCAGGATATGAAAGTAGCAAAGGAGGCAAGCTGATGAGTAACGCAGCACCAGAAAAAATGCCTACTGAAAATGAGCAAATAGTCAATGAGATACTCCATGATATACATGGTTCTTTTGCTGACATCTCTGATGGTACTGGTACCGTTGAAAGTGATTTCAAGGTTAGCTCCAATCTTATTGTAAAATTCAGCAGCACAAATAATATAAAATTTGCAACATATGTCATCAAATGTATTTTTATCAGTTTTGATGATCTTTTTGGGAAATTAACATATCTGAATTCAGGGTGTATGAGATGATTCTCTTCTTGTGTAATTTTATATTTCCTATCTTTTTTGTTATCAGGTAAAAGTCAAGGAAACAATGGAGAAAGCTTTCTGGGATGCGGTTGCGGATTCAATGAGAGGAGACATGCCAGACTACGGTTATCTGGTCAGCCTGGTAAGGCCCTGTTCGGTTCCCGGGGAACGACGTCCGGGAACCGTTCCGGCCAGGATTGTCCGTTTAATTTGTACGTAGCAGATTTGACCGGGAATCATTCCGGGGCGGAAACTACTCAAACGAACGAGCCCTAAAGGAAATCAGGGAAGCATTAGAAGAGTTAGCTCCTGCAGCGTGGAAAGAAGAAATCAGTGACAATATTAACCTTGAAATTTTGACTCAGGTAAGAATATTTCAGTTAGTATTGTGGATTATGGTGAACCGCGATACATATTTGAGACAAATATATATTGTTTTGTTGGAAAGTTACTTGAATCAGGTTCCCAGGACAGACAATACCTTGGACAAATTTTGCAGTACTCTCTGGATAAGCTACGAAAACTGTCTTCTCCTGCGAAGGAACTCGAGATGAAGAAGAGTCATGATAAATTGTTGGGAGAATTGATCGAAGGCTCTGAATCTAATTATAGAGATTCAAATTCATTTGTTTTTTGTGTTATCAAGGGTTTGCGCTTCACTATGGAGGAATTAGAGGTCCTGATGTAGACTAGGACTTAGAAGGTATTCACGGATTATGATGAAAAATAAAGGGAAAAATACAAACGGGACTCAAAACGATCTAAAACCAGCAACCAGAACTTGACCTAGGGCACAAACTCAACAACGCGAAATAGAAACGAAATTGCACGGCACAATGAGGCTATAGGACAAGGAATATGTGGTGGCGTATATATTTTTTTTGGTTTTTTGTGGACTATAGGTAATGCAAAAACTAATAATAATCTAAAGGGAAAACAAAGTTATACCTAACGGGCAACAAGGTCTCTGATACCACTTGATGTAGACTAGGCCCGATCTTCCGAAAGGTATGATAGTGTCGATTGGTGGAGACTCGACGTTCACGATGTAGGCTTTGAACCAAGATTGATTCGGACCCCCGCAACCGTTACACCACTGCTCCGTTGGTTATCAACCACGCGAACGCGATTGACCTCGCCGAGAAGACTATCCTGCAAGCGAATCGAGAACACAAGCAAGAACGGGATGAACGCAATCTGAAATTGCAAATAAATATGAGGCTTATGAAAATAAAAAGAAGTTCAAGCCTTTATTCGAAAGGACTAATCGGCACAGACGAACAAGATTAAGAATGGGACCACAGGACCACGGTTACAGACAGGTGACTTCGGCGACAAGCGCGACGCGCAGTTCAAAGAAAAGATGTCTGTTTCACGAGGAAATCAAGAACTAAACAAAACTCAAACCCTAAGGAGAGCGACGGCTGATAATTATAGAGTCTTGGGCGTCACCTCCTGGACGCGTCCCTAATGGGCCCAAACACGATACACGGTCCAACGGACCAAAATATGGTGTCGCAGCACCCTGGCAGATTCTGGACGTTGACTTGTGACCACGATTCCCGTTGATTCGAACAGCTTTTGACGTGAGACCACTTGGATTGGCTTTCTTATCAAATTAGCTTTCCATCCATATGTGGATCGTCGAAAACGGAGTCCGGATACGTCCTGGGTGACCAGTTTAAGTTAGACTGGTCCTGAAACTCGAGATGGGCTCCAACTTCAGTTGGACTGGGCCTCCACCATGAAAAAGATGAATTGGACGCCCATGCTTAACCTCCTCCTCTCCTTGGCTTGTATGTGATGAAGTAGTGATGTCCTTGTCAGGTCCTTAACTCCTTACTATATGAGTCTGTTTTCGAATAAACTGATGAGCAATATGTGAACTTACAATATTTCCTCGTGAATAAATTTCCTTACTGAAACAGGCTCTAAAAGCAGAAGTCAGTAGAGCACGCATCCAACTATTGGAACCAATGATTAAGGGACCAGGTGGAGTGGAGTACCTGCAGAAGTCTTTTGCTGATCGCTATGGTTCCCCTTGTGATGCATTAGCTTCTCTCCCTTCAACTGCCCGGTGGATTTCCTCCTTGAAAGATGTTGTGGAAGAACAATGGAATGAACATGTCAGCTCGTTATTAATTCTGCCAGAAGCAGACCATGTTAGTGCTTCATTTGGCCTTGTTTTTTTCTTTTCTTTTCTCGAAGGAGAGCTGTGCATCATTGCATTAAGAAACAAATGCACATAGACGAAGACATGGACACATATATCATACCTAGTTTCATACACGCCACACCCTAATTCAGAACAACCAATGAGAGCACTTAAAATCAATCAATCCTCAGCAATGGTCAGAAATGGCAAGCCTTTGGTCCCAATCAATCCTCATCTTTGAACTTGACCTGCGGGCTGGGTGACAATGCCATGTTTTATCTATGTTTTTTAGCAATAGCTTATTTACTTTGTAGTTTGTGCCTATCATTTTTTTCTGTAGTTCTGATTACACATAGAACTTCTGAGAGTTCCCAACTGTATAACAGGTTCAGCCACTTGTTGCCACCCTCCGAACTGGCCATTCAGTTCCAGGTCAGCTACAATCTGTGATACCTGCAGCAGGTATTTTCTTTGTTTCCCTTCTTTCACCACAGGTTGCTATTTACCCGTATTCATGGCTGATGTTGCATATTGTGAAGCAGACAATGCAGGACTACCAGAATGTAGGGGAGAAATACTTGGCAAGCTAATAAGGATTGGGTTATTACAGCTCATCAGCAGCATGGAGGGTGTACAAAGGGAATCAGTTCCTGAGACCTTTATGATCAATTGGTTGAGGCTGCGGTCTGTTCAGAGTAGATTTCAACGAGTGATTGTGATAGCGACAAGGTGAACCATTATCTGATTGTTCCATGTTTCTTTATCATGTTGTAGTGTTTGTAATCTGATAGAATGGAATGACTGAACCCAATTGCCTTATTTTTCTCTTGTTCGCAGCATGCTTGTCTTGCATCAGGTGTTAGTGAGTGAGAACCCAAAGATCACTCCTCATAAGCTGGAGAATGTGAGTTTGGAGCTGTTCAACGTCCTCACAAGGCTACTAGACAACTTTCCAGATGTTGGCACTGAGAAAATCATTGAGGCCATGATTTATTCATCAACCTCAAGGAGCTCGTCGTCAGATCATGAAATGATGGATAGTAGGAATAGGAAGGAGATATTGACTAGGGTCTTCCTTAAAAGCCTCCAGACCGATGACACCATCTTCAAGAAGGTCTCAGTCTGTGTACTGTGCATTCCGTGCAATCACTCTGCGCGGCAATGGGGAGAAGGGCCGGAAGCTCGCCGATGCATCCCTGAGGCGCATCCGGGCAACAAAACTCACTGCACGGCTAGTGAAGGCAGCTGAAGTGCTTATCAAAGCAGCAATGGTGTCAGAGCAGGTCCATGGCCCATGGTACACGCAGTTGCTGTGAATGGTTCTGCTACCTCGGATATATATATAGCGTTGCCCATGCCCCGTCAAGGTTCTGGACAGCGTGTTACAGGGATGTATCTATGTGTGGAAATGGTATGTTCACCGTGTTACAACTGAATGGTTTGTGGGAGTGCCGTGATGTTTGAATTCAAATAAGCATATAGCACAGGCGAGCTGAATGCATGTATATATATGCACGAAACTTAATACAATTCCGAAATGCTCTCATGTGTATCATGTATACATATCTTCCATCATCATGCACTACAGGCTCATCTGTAAGCTTCCACAAAACCGAATCAGCTCACGACGACAGCTGCTGCGCCTCCAGAGCCGCAGAGGCCTCGCCAGTGGACGTCGCCCCTGGTGCTGCTGCCTCTACCGCCTCGGCGGGGGCGGGGGCCTCGAGGGTCTGCGCCACCGCCGGCTGGAACTTGGCGACGTAGTAGCTGAGCGGCGGGCCGTTGTAGGCAGCTTTCAGCGGCACCGGAGGCTGGCTCTTGTTCACCTGGATGAGGATGGACGCGGCCGCGGCGACGGTGATGAGGACGAGCCCCGCGGCGATGGCGGCCGTGTTCTCGGCGCCCTCCGCCGACGTGCCCGCCGTGCCGGAGCTGATGGCGCTCTCGGCCACGTACACCATCGGCTGTTGCAGAAACAGAAAGATTTGAGGTTTCTAGAGGTCGGATACCAGTGGTCGCAAAATTTGTACGGAAGGTACCCAAGGCTAGATAGAGCGTTTGAATGAATGTAAGAAGAGCGGGAATTAATTACCTCGACGGAGTAGATGTTGGTCTGGCCGGCGGTGTCCTTCTCGACGTAGCCCCACTTTCTCTTCTTGGGAGGGAAAGTGCCGACGACCTGGGTCCTCTCCTCGGCCAGCCACTCGGCGCTCAGGCTCCCGACCTGCATGCATGCGCACCCACCCACCACAGAAATGGCATTGGCATCTCATCATTCTCGTTGCTGCTTTCGTCAATCCCAGGCTTTGCTGTGCTTGCGTAAGCATCATCAACAGTACTATATATCTAGATCTACTGCTGCGCAACGAGGCAGGCACGCAAAGTTGAAGGAAAGAGCAGTACTGTACCTCCTTCTCCGGGGCGCACTCCTCCTCGTTGCAGTCGGGGTCCTCCTGCGTCGGCGCCGGCGGCGAGGAAGCATTGCAGGTGAGCAGGAACGGCCTGCTGCTGCTGCTGCCACCGCCGATGATGATGCCCCCACGCACATGGGAGGCCGCCGCCGCCTGAGGCTTGCTCCTCAGGAAGATGCAGCCGCTGGCGGAGAGCATGGACTGCGCAGGGCACGCCATCTGTACTTGCTCCTCCTTTCCTCCTCTTGGTCTTTGGTCTTGGCAGACGCGCACACAGACGGGAAACGAAGAACACAAGAGAATTGATGAGTCATCCAGAGTTCCAGACCACCAGACGCTCTCTTTTGTGTGTAAGCCGTTAAGCGTCGTGGGCAAACATCTTTCCGGTGATAGCAGTCTGTGGTCGCCAGTGCGTCCACGTTGCCGCGCTGCCTGCTGCAGAGATCGTTGGACGACGCAGGGCCTTGGGCGTGGCCCGTCCAGCGAACCAGGCCTTGGCCTTAGCTCACACTGTTCTGACGTAAATATTATGGGAAAAATATTATTTTAGCTGAAAAAAGAAGCTGAACCAACTAGATTTAAGGTAAGACGAGGGAGGACAGAAAACTAGAACTGGGAGCTGCTACAGGACCGCAGCCACAGAAAGCTCCGAGCAGTCGGCCAGTCATCGTGGGCAGCTGCTTTACTCTCTCTTTTTGTTTGAGGGAAAGCAGCTGCTTTACTCAACGAACGAACACGGTAACAGCAACATTGGACCGCGGCCCACCCTTGCAAATCGAAGCATCTCCACGCCGGCCTCACCACGTTTACATCATTCATGCAAAAGATTGGTAACTGTTCTAAAAAGGGTAAAGCCTGGCTTAAGGAGCAAAGGGTTTTCATTTGTGAACCAGTGTTCGACACATGAAAAGCAAAAGGGGGAAAAGAAAAAGAAGAAAACTGGGTTCTGATACAGGTTTCACTAGCTACTGAGGTGTCAATAAACCAGCCATGAGTATGGCGAGCCACTCCGACGACCTAAGTCCCTAACCAAGCAAAAGCCTACATAACTTACTACTGCAAACCCAGTCACCCAGTGGCTCAGTTATCCTCCCACCGCTGGCAGACTGGCCGCCATCTCAGAGTACATCAGTTATCCTTCCACTTGTTGACATACTTGAGGAATGCCATGGACGGGTTGTCCTTTGGGTTAGCCCGGACACGTGTGGAACGGCGCAGCACACCCTCTTCAAGCAACATCTTGTTTGCAATATCTTTTGATCGTTTCTCTAGGGCATTACTGTAACATGGAACATGAGAAGAATTAGTCAGCAGTTGGCACTTAATGAAACTTTTTGAAATACTAACGCTGTGATATTGGGCATGTCAAGAATGAATATTGCAGTTGTGAAATGAGTCTAGAAGGTTAGCATCAAGTCATGTATGGAAGACAGTACAGACTGCAGGATCAGCAGCGGTGAAAATTATGACCAGAAAATAAAACTGACCAAATAAGAGAACAAGGGTGAGTTCTTCAGGTATCAAGAGAAAACTAAGTGCTTTCTAAGCTGAAGAACTAATAGGGTGTTTGGTTTGAGGAATGAGTTAGCCCATCGTCTACTCATTCCTCACTTTTTTTTTTTTTGGTTTGTGGAATAGAATAGGTTGATGCAATGATGCATCATCACCTCATTCCTCACGCTAATAATTAGTAATAGTATGAGGAATGGAGTCGTTCCATCAAAATTTGAGGAAAGGACTCATGATGCACCACCTCATAGGATGGAGTGATTCCTCAAACCAAACACCCTATAAGCCTCCAGGTACAAGTGCCCTGATTACCAAAACATCACAGGTCACAAAAGCCTTCTCTAATGAACCACAATATGGGGTTATAAAGGCAAAAATAATGATATTCATATGATCATATCAACAAGTATAGTGTTAACATACTTGATATGATCAACAGAAGTCAAAACCAAAGTCCAATACAGGCCAAAACTAAGGTTAGCGGAGATCAACATACCTTATCTTACTATAGAACTTCTCTAGTTGCCGTTTCAAAGCTCTCTCCCTTATACCTTTCACATTCAATGAGCCCATGAGCACATCAAGCTGTCATTAAAACAAAAACTTATTTGAGCAGCCACAGATGGTGAAAATAGAGATTTACAACCAGATCATCAGTCACCTCTTCCTTAGTGCTGTAGTGACCCCATTCTCTGGAATCAGCAGTTTCAACAAAAAGCCTTCCTTCACGCTTGAAAAACCAGTACCTATTGTACTGCCTGTCTTTACCAAGAGGGCTGGAACGGATGGATAATTTCTCTATCTCCGTCTCAAGGTGTCGTACCTTCAAAACATTCAAAATCCAATAAATTGAGCAAAACAGTAAGGCTCAATACTAAACATTGTCACGTACAACCGAACATGACTAGAATACATATATTGGTGCATCTGCAAATGCAATTACACTTGAGTCAGGTACTCACCAGGTGTCGTTTCCCTTCTGTCCTACTCCGACAAATATTGCTCTTGTCATTTTCTTTTCCCCTAACCAGCTCATCTACACCCTCATGGCCACCTTGCACAGCATCTGTCTGATTCTCCTCCTTTTTCATGGCAATTTCAGTGTTCAGATTTTGCTCTTGTTTGTCCTTTCTGGTGTTCTCTCTTTTTGTTGCATTAAGGACTTGTTTCTGGTCCACACGGTCGCTTAGTATCTCCCTAATGGCAGAGGTTTGAATAGCTTCTTCCACTAGTTCCCGGAGGATCTTAAGCTTTATATCAGTGTCAATAAGACCATAATAACCCCTTCTTACTGTTGCAATGTTAGTGGATAGTTCTTCATTTTTTGCCATTTCCAAGAAATCACAGAGATACTCAGCCCATGTTACTGAACTTACCTGCAATGGAAAAAAAAAAGGATGAAATGTACACTCAATAAAGGAGGGCTGTCGATCTTAATAGTATTAAGGGAGAACCTTTAACTTCCGCTTCTTGTTCTGCAGAACAGTGAAATAGTCACCTTCATCCTTAATAAGCAAGTGAAACATAGCTGCATGTATTTCCACGAGAAGAACATTGCTTTCTTTGTGGCAAATTGCATTCTCCAGATCTGTTAGCGGAAATGGGGACAGATTCAGAGCCCTCCCAAAAGACGAGCAGAAGTCCCATACCATAAGGAGATCTCCCACAGAACATCTTGGTACTCTAAAATCTGTAGCCAGAGGAGGCCTCTTAAATAAAGCCGGATCATCTGCATTGGGCCTTACTAGCAGATCATCTATTGGATACTTAATCATTACATATGCCTGTTCTTCATCTGGAAATCATATAGGGATCAATGATTAGAAGCTTGTAAGAATGAACAAAACCATCGCTAGTTCACTACAAGTGGTTCAGGTTCAGTTGAATCACCTGTCTTGAGCTTTTTCCTCCCATCTTCAATGGTTCCATTCTCTTGTCTTTTTCTCCCTTTCTTCTGCAAATAGTCATTACAATAGAGAAAGAAAGGTAGTTTAGTGCTACAGATTTGTAACATACATGAGAAGAGAAACAAAATAAATAAGTGTGGGATACTCACCATTACGCTGTCTGGGGGGTCCATAGATATGCCAAATTTTTTGGCGAGATTCTCATGGATAACCCATGGATTACTTTGTGATGTAGCATCTCTAATAAAAATCTTCAGCGTATTCCTGCTAACAGGTGCCCTCCGGTAAAACAGATCTGCAGCTTTGATTACTGATGTGTTGGTCACAGCCTTACCCTGCCGAATCCAACCAACTTCACACATCTTTGTGCCACCAGAATCTAAAATCTTCAAAATCTTGCAAGGTGCCACAGCACCATCCTTATTAGCATGTAGTTCTATTCCTTCAAATACTTCTTCCAGCAGACTGGCATATATCTTATCGATAAGTTCATGTAAACCAAGAGTGCCTGAAACAAAAGTTCGCATGAAATACAATAGCATTCTGATTGCTGCTGTAACATAGATGTTTTGTAATTGGCTGTAATTGGCAAGCAGTCCATTGTGCTTACAGAATAACAGAGTAGCAGGAGCTAATATAGTTTACTATTGCACGACACTATCTGAACCTTAAATCTACTTGCAATACTTCACATGTGATTTCCAGCTTCCAAGCATATAATTTGAAGCTACATATGATACTTAAATGAAAATAATTACTTTTGCAACACAACTATATCAGCACAGAATACAGTCCACATTACAAAGACAAATGTTACTACTGAAACAAGAACATATATATGAATGAATGGAAGTGTACCATCCAGAACCACAACACATGCGGTACAGGATTTTTTTTTGAAAAAAAAGTACTTACTGTATTGAGTCATCCGAAGAACATGAGCCATTAGCTCAGTTGGCAAATTTTGAGCCTTCTCCATAGCTTTATGCTCAGATACCAAAGCTTCTTCAAAAGTTAAATTAGATTTTCCAGATATCTTACATGTCCAAACTCTTTGGCGATAAAGGTTTAGCCTCTTTAGGTATTCTCTGATTTGTTGTTAAGGATACAAGCTTCAGAACTTGCATTGCTAAATTACTTCCCTGCTAATGCAAAAGGCACAGCCATTGGCAAAAAATGCTCCAGGACAAATAACAGCAAATTTGACTGCAACAGCATCATACAGAAAAGGATACTCATAATCTCGGAATATCTCCTTTGTGAATCGAATTTGGAACACCTTCTCCTTTGAATCCAAGTCCTTAGGGGGCTCCAGTAAGGAGAAAGGTTTCTTATCAAAGAGAGGCATTTGGCCTAGGATCCTCCCTGCACACGAAAACAAAGCACAACTTTCATTTCTCCTGTAAAGCTCTTGCATGGGAAAATCTTGAACACTACAAATAAGCTGATTAGTAATGCGATCTGCCAACAGCTCCAGGCATAAACGAGTAATAAGGAACAATTACAAGTGTACATAGACACATAGTGATATGACTAGCACCATGTTCTTGGACCAATGGGAAAGGCAATTAAATGTAAGATCGAAGCTAGAAATGATTCTAGCAGAAAATGGCGCATCAGAGCAGCATGTCGAAACTTGCTGTTTTGTTACCCACATCAAGCGCAGTGCATCAATGCAACACCATCACGGGTCACCCTAAGCCGCCCAGCACTTGTGGGACATGAACAAGCGCAAGGTGAACGAGTCCAAAAGCATCCCTGGACCCTAACCTCACAAAATAGGTAGCCCACGCCACCGCCGCGGAGGCACCCACCGACCACGCCATCCCCCCACGGGAAGCGATGCCCCCCTTGCCGCAGTACCGATCCACCCGCAACGAACAGAACGGAGAAACAAGGAGCGCGCTAGGGTTCGCGGATCTCACCGACAAATACCTCGATTAGACACGGGGAGGAGCCTCCGCGAGGCCGGGAACCGACCGTCGACGCCGCCCGCGGGGCGGCGAGGCGTCCGCGCGGGAGGGTCTTCGCCGGCGCGGGGGCGAGTGACCCCGGCGGCGGCGGAATGGGAGGCGGGGGGCGGAGCTGGGCGGGCGGGCGCGGGCGCGGGGCGCGTTTGGGGAATGGTTTGGCGCCTTCGTTTTCGAGCTGGGGCTGCTTCGTTTTGGGGGTTGGGGTTGCGAAGAAGAGGAGAGGAGTGGTGGCGGAAAAGATGCGGGGGTCAAAATAAATATATGCAGAGAGAAAATAAATGGAGGGAAAATTTCTCAAAATTTTACGGTGGCGGGCGGGGAGAGAGGGAGGGTGGGTGGTAAACAGAGCGTACGGAAATTTTACTGCAAAAATCCGCGTTGGATTCGACAGTGCGTTCATTTTTAAAAAATTTAAAGTACAAGTATAAACGCAGAGCAATTTCTTTTTCAAACACGGTATAAACGCGCATACACGTATAGACACCCACCCATATTTTCAGCCAAACCTACAATTTGTTGCCCAGTACTTGTACCGATACACAATTAGCTAGCTATATTTGTTACATTTAATTAGACTTGTCCAGCATCCATTAAATAAATTTCAAGTCCTATAATGAATGCTGGTGTAATAAAAAATAATTTTATATAGAAACTAATGCAAGATTCGTGCAATTTAAATATGTATGTATTATGTACACTCATCCTGGTCAGAGAAAAGTGAAAGATGAACCATACATTCCCACACTGTCGACACTCAGGAATACTCCTACAATTATGTTTTGATGAAATAATAAAATTCTTATTATTGCTTTGCAAAACTTCAAATTTCAACTCTAATGTACTCTCTCCGTCGCATTTTGAGGAGTCGATCAATCTCAATTTTGATTAGATTTATAGAAAATAGTATCAATATGTATCTTTAAATAGGTTTATTATAAAAATATAGTATGTGCTAATGATGTTTATCTCATATAATAAATATTAATATTTTCTTAATATATATTTAGTTAAAGTTAAAATTATTTGAATCATCGAAATATAAGACGGAGACTTGTTTTAGCACGGAAGGAGTACACAAAGTTTAAATTCCGACAAATGCGCGTTCTATGCAAAGGCAACAACAACATTCTTCCCTGTAGGGAAAATAGTGAAAAGATATATCACGGAAAATAAAATTGCGGGCAAAGACGTGGAGTCTTTCCAGAGAAAATTTTAACCGCAAACCTAGAAGGAGACAGAAGAAAAGTAGAAGAGGCAGCGCATATGTAACGTGTACGTATTTCCCTCCCTCTCGTGAACCTTCAAGTTCAACGTGGCATAGTAACGTGCGACGCGGCCAAGGGACTGGTAGGTGCGTGGCTGCCCATCATTCCCCACGTTTACAGAAGCCACGAGCCAGAGTTTCGAGGCCGCACGCGGCGGAATATTTCTGGCTGCAGCTAGCTCTGCGAGCAGGGCCAGTTAGCCAGGATCCAAACTTTGGCACTATAAAAAAAAAGATTTTTTGTCACATTAAACTTATGGTACATGTATGGAGTACTAAATGTTGAGAAAATCAAAAACTAATTGTACAGTTTGGTTATACTTTGCGAGACGAACGTTTTGAACATAATTAATCAACGATTAGACAATTATTACCAAATACAAATAAAATGCTACAGTGCGCTACAGTATCGCAGGAATTCAGGCGGCGCCAATTCGGCCGGCAACTAAACGGGGCCTGAAGCTTGTTGCGGTCCCTATCTATAAGCAGGTGTTCAGTTTTACGGATTAAATTTTAGTCCTTGTCATATGTTTGAACACTAATGTGAAGTATTAAATATAGACTAATTACAAAGCTAACTGCACAGATTAAGATTAATTTACGAGACGAATCTACTAAGCCTAATTAGTCCATAATTTGACAATATGTGCTACAGTAAATATGTGCTAATGATGGATCTCGTAGATTAGCCTCCGTCTGTGTAATTAGTTTTATAATTAACTCATATTTAATCCTCCTAATTAGCATATGAACGTCCGATGTGACAGGGACTAAACTTTAATCTCTAGAACCAAACACCCCCTTAGGGCGTGGCTGGCGCTTTGTGCGGACGCCCGCGCAATCTGTCTCCACCCGTCTCGCTCCAGCTCACACATCAACGCTACGACCGTCGCTCCTCCCATCCGGATGGACGGACGCGCAACCCACTCCTACCTCGCACACGCACCTTGACCCCCCCCCCTCCTCTCTCTCCGTGTGGGCGAGATCCAGGAGCCGGTCCCTAGCTCGCTGCGCCCCATCCGCTGGTCCCTAGCTCTGTCACGCCCTATCCCCGACGCCTGGGCCGTGCGCCCAACACTTATCGTGCCCCCTGAAACTCTTGCAACATAAAACACTTGGATGCAACATATGTCGGACACACATGAAACATTTAAAACATATTTGTTGCAACATATGTGTGAAAAATATACAACATCCAGATAAAACACTTGCAACATGTGTGTGAAACAAAATGCAACATCCCAGATAAATCACTTGGAACATGTGTGTGAAACATATGCAACATACGTCTAAGCATACGTTTGAAACAGATGAAACATTTTTTCAAAATGCTTGCAACATACCACTGAAAACACTTGCAAAAATATGCAATATGTGCAACATCTCAATCTATTTTTGCAACATCCATAAGTAACAATTGCAATGTACCTTTGAAATATCTGAAACACTTGAAACATACATTTGCAACATAGAAAAGGGAAGCCCGGGGCCTGTCGATTCCGGTCGTCGGGGTGTGATCCGGCGGCGCGCGAGCACCACCAGCACCGAGCACGCTCGTTGGTGCCCTTGGCTCGGCGGGGGTAAGACATGAGGCGCCACAACACGTGTGCCCTAGCGGCCATGGTGGGATCAGTGGCGCGGTCGGCGATGGGGAAGGGCACGGCGCGGCAGTGCGACGAGCACGCGGTGGGGGAAGGGGCGGACGGATGAGCGGCCATGTTACTTCGGGTGCAGACGGATAAGCATACGAGGGAGTGAGAATTTATTATTTATGATAGAGATGGGGCCACTCATGTGGAGCCGCGTCCGGACATGAATCACGGACGGACGCTCATATTGGATCATTATCGTTTGAGAAAATCCTTATTAGCATACCCAAGTCTAACAAACATGACCGATTTTTTAAAAACAAATGTGTATCATTATTAGCCAAAAATATTTTTTTCCATATTAAACTTAATTTCATAGATGAAGATTGTAGGAGCGACACCAGAACAAGAAGTGCACAAAGAGACATTGAGACCAAACACAAGCTTAAACTTTCAATGCTTTTTCTCTTATACATTGCCTACTAGCATTGCTACTGTCAGTGCTTTTGCTTAACTCATGGTGAGAAGGAGATTAGAAGGGCAACGTAATAAACGAACTACAACACTGACTTGCATGATGGTACTTCTGCATTTAAGAACATAGCAAGCTACATTTTCAAACTTCCACTAATCTGTCCTACACAGAGTATCTCAGTGATGAATAAATTGAGATAAGGTTAACTTATGAATGCACATAAGGTTCCTTATCTCAATACTAGTTAGATGTGGCTCTTCATTTTTTAATGGCAAGGAGTTTCAGAAGTTCAACAATCTGCCGCAAACATCTCTGCAGTGTGATGTTCAGAGTTTTTTTTTTTTGACCAAATGATGTTCAGAGTTAGTGCTTCAGTGAAGACACCTCACCTCTAGAACAGTCATACTCTCCTTCCGATTGTACCGGTAAAGGTGAAGATGATCTCTTCCTTCTGGAGAAACAAGATACCGAAGCCTTTTCTTTTCAGTGCTTTTATGCTTAACTGTGATAAGAAAGTTATTTTTAAGTAAGCAATAAGGTATTCACTAGTAATACACACGAATGCAATCCGATTCCAAGAAACCAGACATGTGCCTAACCTTGTTTCCTCTTCTCCACTAATGGTGTAGTAGTTAAATATATAAAAAAAACAGATAAGAGCATCTTCAAGAGTTTGGTATTTTTAACTTGGCAAATCTTGTGATTTGACAACTCCCAAAAGATTTGGCAAGCTAAAAAAGAACCCCTCTCCAAGAGTCTCCTATTTTTAACTTGCCAAATTGAAAAAAGAAGCCCCACAATCTATATTTCCCCCCGCACGCAAACCCTTCCTGTTTTTCGCGCGAAGGACACCGCCGCCGGTCTTTTTCATCGTGCATGTTGCAGCCGAGCTTCCCCAGCCGGCCAACAAGTTCTCCCAGCCGCCATCTCTTCCTCCTGCCGCCCTCTCCTCCACCACCGGGCCATTTTCGTCTTCCAAATCGGCGGCCAGATCTTTCCCGACCTCTGCGAGAAGCTTGAAGGCGTTCTTGATCCATCAACCGCCGGCGGGAATCATGCCTTTCAAGAGATCCCTTATGCAGGGGAATTGGATGATTCATCATCGGATGACGATGACTACGTGATATTCTCAAGCTGCTTTCGGATTGTGCATACTTATTCCAATACCAAAAGGAGTCACGGTGGCTCTGTCCTTGGCCATAGAGTTATTTATCGTGATAGGGAAGGCGGGCACAACAGGATGTTTCAAGATTATTTGGCGGTTAATCCAACATACGACCCTCAAATATTCCGTCGAAGGTTGTTGTTCTTTCACTTCAGAATGGTTAGTAGTATGTGTTTAATTATTATTCGTGTTGTTAAACTTTAGTTTTTTTGCTTCAGGCACAGGATGTCTAGGGAGCTATTCCTACGCATAATGAATGCTGTTGAAGCACATGATGATTACTTTGTGCAAAAAAGGAATGCGGCCAATGTACTTGGATTGAGTTGCTTCCAAAAAGTCACTGCCGCATTTCGTATGCTCACTTATGGGGTTCCAGCTAATGCTACAGATGAGTACGTTCGCATTGGCGAAAGTACTGCACTTGAGAACCTACGTAGGTTTGTTGCTGCAGTTGTTGATATTTTTGAAGATGGGTACCTGAGATATCCCAATGAGACTGACACAGCACGCTTACTGGCACTCGGTGAGCAAAGAGGCTTTCCTAGAATGTTAGGGTCAATCGATTGTATGCATTGGGCGTGGAAGAACTGTCCAGTAAAAAAACAAGGTCAGTACAAGGGGCATGTGGACAAGCCCACTATGATTTTGGAGGCTGTTGCTTCGAACGACCTTTGGATATGGCATGCCTTCTTTGGAATGCCTGAGTCTCATAATGACATCAATGTCCTTCACCGGTCTCCTTTGTTTGTAAACTTGGCGGAAGGTACAGCTCCACAGGTGAACTATACTGTTAATGGGCATGGTTATACGATGGATTATTATCTTGCAGATGGTATATACCCCTCATGGGCTACTTTAGTGAAGTCCATCACTCTTCCTATGGGGAACAAGAGGCAATATTTTGCCAAAGCGCAAGAAACAGCGAGGAAAAATGTCGAGAGAGCTTTTGGGGTTCTTCAATCTAGGTTCGCCATTGTTCGAGGATCAGCTCGCATTTGGGACACAGAGACAATAGGAATGATCATGAGGGCTTGTGTGATCATGCACAACATGATTGTTGAAGATGAAGGGTTCGTGGACCTTGACGAGCGTTTCGATTACGGTGGTGAAAATGTGCAACCTGCTCATGGCTAGGCTACTCGTACACTTGGTGAATTTATTGATGCACACAAAAGGATCAGAGACAAGGAAATGCATGTGCAGTTGAAAGAAGACCTCATCGAACACCTTTGGAACCATTATCCTGATTTATATTAGCTACATAGTAATTTTATTTAATTGAAAACTTAGACCAGTGGGATAGCTATCATCTTTAAGCCACACATTGACACATGAACGTTGGCGTCAGATGTGTTCATGTTCAGAACAGTCAATACTAAGCAGTTGTATAATTGTGCTAGTGGAGTCTTGAAACTCAAAGAACTATTAGCTATCTAGCTATATAGTAATTTTATTTAATTGTCAAATGAATTACATACTGATCCATAATGCTTCTGCTGAATCAAAAAAGGTTCTACTGAATCAAAAAAACAAGCAAACTAAAGTTTAATAATTCCACAACTCAAATGATAAGAACTAAATTTAATTTGCCAAATGCCTAGCGACAATCTTCTGCTGCATCATCTCGTAGTATTGACGCTGCAGCGGGTTGAGGGAAGTAATGTCGATTGACATTATTTCTTTTTCCTGTTTAATCAAGTCAGCTTCAGCTTTTTTTCTTCATTTGACACTCGCTTCTTCTCTAGCTCAAGTGAAGCCATGAACCTCTCATGTTTTGCCTTCTCTTTTTCCTTGTCGAAAGCCTCCTTCTTTGCCCACATCTTGTCCAATGCCTCCATGCAAGCTTCGCCACCTCCTCGCCTAAGAGCTTCTTTTGCCTTCTTTATCCCCTATGGCCTTTTCCTTGCTTCGGTTTCTGGAGCAACAACCTCTGTGACTTCTTCATTGTTGGGGGCTTCTACATCCCTTGTCCTGGACACCTTGGTGGACTTCTGTTTTTTCTTGCTTGCTAGTTTCTCCAGCTCGGCAAGTTCAATCCTCTTGGCTTTCCACTTGTCTTCCTCCTTCAATATGTTCCAACAATGTATAAGAGTAAATGACTTGTTGTCCTTGTCTAATTCCTGGTACATCATGGATGCTTGTGAAATCTGTATAGGGAATTTGTCAATGTATATATCATTTTCAAATAAACCAAATTTAAGTAAAAGATTCAACACATATTGTATACCTTGTCTTGGATAGTTGTTCCACTTTGATTCCTACGCTCAATCACCTCATAGCAAGAACAATACTTGTTCACTTGACACTGAATTGTCAGCCACCTATGCATAATGGAACTCTCTGTCCTCAAAGCTGCAGTTTTCTTGTGTTTCTCAAAGAAAGCATGAACTCTACTCCAAAATGTGGAACGAGATTGATTTGCCCCGTTAATGGGATCTTTGCTAACGTTCAACCAGCCTGAGCATACAACTTCGTCTTCCTTACAATGAATTTTTTTGTCCTCTTCGGTCCCTTTGTACTGCGACTTGGCTGCACTTCCACATGAACTTCTTGAACTTCAGAAGGAAGGTCATGAATACTCTGAGTGTCTTGTGTGATCAGAAAGTTGAGGTCGTCCAAACCAGCAACATCACCATCACCTCCATTTAGAAGAATGTCTGTCAAGAATCCATCTCCTTCCATTTCAATGAGTCTACAAAAAGAAAAGAAAAGAAAAAATACAAATAAGAAAAATACAATCTGTAATAACTAGGTCAGAGTGGCCTTCTCTTTTTCCTTATCTCAAGGTCCTTAACCAATGAATCTGTAATATCTGTAATAACTGTAATACACATTGAATCCAGCTTTCTGGTTTTGTGGATAGATTACCTACATGTACAAAGAGTAAATTACAAGTCCTACATGTACAAAGAATTTGTGCTAATAGGCTTCTAGGGTCCGTACCTCTGGGAATCGGTAAGCTGGCTAATCTGAAAACATTGTATCTAGGCAACAACCAGTTCAATGGTTCTTAGAATATAGAAAATTCCATCTATCCCATATCGGTAATTTACATAACGGAACTCTATTCAACAGGAACATGAGCTCAATCAAATTCAACATGCAGTATAACTGAACAAAATGAACAGAGATCATACTGGAACATCGGCGACAGGAATTAGAGGGAAGGTAGAGGGGAGATCGTACCTGACCCTAGCGAGCACCTCCCGACGTCGATGATTGGGGCTTCACGCGGGAGAAGGAGGCGCGACCGGCTTTCTGGCCTTGGAGAAGGAGGAGGCGCGACACAGCTTTGGCCTTGCGCGGGAGAAGGAGGGCGCGACACAGCCCAGCAAGACTTTGAAGAAGAGGCGCGACACAACTTGCCATGTGGAGGAGCGGCGGCGGCGCGAGAAATCGCGATGGCAACCCCAGAGTCTGTGGCGTATATTTATGCAGCGTCTTGGAGGAAATTGCCAAGTTGCTATTGATGCCAATTTGTTTTGCCAAACTGTTGGAGACCATTTTTTCTTGTTTTGCCAAAATTATATGGATGCCATGTTGAAATACCAAACTCTTGGAGATGCTCTAAGTAGACACACGATCACTCCCCAGTGCCTCTCATCGGAAAGGGTAGGCCACCGTCTAGGCAGTATGACGGTTTCATCCATGCCTGTGCCCGCGGTGGCGGTGGCAGCATGGTGGCGACGTCGAGGTTTCAATTCTGGATCTCAGAAGTGGCAATAATGCCATTTGTTGTTCCGTCTGCGAGAGCTCTTGCGAAGTTGCGAAGGTTATGGGTGAAAGTTCAGCTCAGTCTTAGTACTGGGCCAGCGATGAGGACGTCTTCGGGCGAGCTTTCTTCTTAACGGCGTCGCTGAAGAACATTTTGCAGACTCTTTGACCATTCGTGCTCCTTCTCGGCACAAGGCTCGGACGAAAACCTTGCTAAGCTCCTGCTTGGCTAACGATGATTACGCCCAGTTCTGGTGCATTGGTGTTGCAATTTCTTTTCTTCTTACTGGTGTGTTGTGGTTGTGCCACCGTCCGCCCTTGTGCTGGGGCATTTGTTGTGGTTTTAATTTTTTGTGGATATGCCACGAGCTCACCCTTGCACTGGAATGTTGCATGGTTTAGTCCGGTTTTCTAAAATTAACTAAACGAAAGGGTTTTTGCCTGATTTGAGGCGGTTGATTCTATATCAATATATATTCAGGTAGGGATTATCTCCTCCTGTGACAGTTAAAAAAAACGATCACTCAATCTAACCAATCAAGTTGATAAGATCTGCATTCTTAGCGAGTACCATTAACCTCAAGATTCTGTTTATTTGCTCAAACTGTCACTGATTGCTAACAATTATTAGTGGGTTGCCCATTAACTTTAAGATTCTATTCGGCTGATATTAAATTCGGCTGAAGCTGTTTTATTACGAGAAAAAAAAAACCCTAGAGCGTAGCTGATAAGCCAAGTCCAAGCGAACAAGCTAGCGGCGCAGGCCAGCCCAGCGCCGCTTGCAAGCCTACTCGACGGTGGCGATCCAGCGCTGCCGCCGGAATGGAGCCGGAGCCCGATCAGCCAAAGGCTGCGGTCGGTGGGGGCCACCGCAAGCACCTGGCCATGCTCGAGCGCCTCTCCAAGCGCTCCTCCTCCTCCTCGGTCGGCGCCCCACCCTCGGACTCCTCTGACGCCTCCCCCGTCGAGGCCTTCCTTTCCCGCTTCGCCGGCGCCAAGCTCGCCGCGGAGTCAGCGCTCTCCGCCTGCCGCTCCTCCTCCCCCGGAGACGACGCGACCGCATCTCTGGCGGCTGCTGCGGTCGCCATCGATGACATCGATCGCCTCATCGCCGAGGCGTCCCACGCACTGCCCCCATACGAGCTCCGCGCGGCCCTCGCCACCGCCGCCGACCTCCGCGCGGCACACAGGGTCGCCGCCTCTGAGCTGCGTCCCAAGAAGTCCTTCTCCTTCAGGAACAAGAGCAGGAATCTGAAGAACCCGCCTCAGGATCATGTCACCGCATCACCACCGCAGCCACCTCCTCCGGAGCAGCCAAAGCCTAGTCTTGACGCGATCCTACCAGGGTTCGGGTTCCGGGGCAGGAACGGCGCCACCCTTGCGAAGGATCTGCGTGTCTCCAACGACAAGGATGGGGATTTCACGCTTGCGGATTTGGTTTCCTGCGAGGTCTATCTCAAGGGCAAATGCCGGGCGCTGTACATCCACAAGCTGAGAGATTGCCGTGTGTTCGTCGGAGCTGTTCTTGGTTCTGTGCTTATAGAGGACGTCGAAGGCTGCATATTTGTGATGGCAGCACACCAGATCAGGATTCATGAGGCGAGGGTGACGGATTTCTACTTGCGGGTGAGGAGCAGGCCTATCATTGAGGATTGCAGCGGCGTGAGATTTGCACCATACGTTTTGAATTATGAAGGGATTGAAGAAGATTTGGAGGACTCTGGACTTGAGGAGGAGACTGGTAATTGGGCTAATGTGGATGACTTCAAGTGGCTCAAGGCAGTGCAGTCACCAAATTGGTGTTTGGTTCCAGAGGAAGAACGATTGCAGACTGTCAACATTTCAGAGGTTCATGAACAGGAGGATGATAGCTGAGCTGCTTTGGCAGGATTGCTGTCAGCTCTCATTTTGGTTTGCTTCTCTGGATTCATTAGTTTATTTGTGGTTGTGGGGATATTGTTTCGGTTTCTTAAAGTTGATTGCTTGTAACTGTACCAAGAGCTTTCTGAATTCACAATATGAAGCATGAAACAATTTGGTTGAGTGGTTTGCATACCCAAAATTGATAAGAGCAGAGAGTTTGGTGAGCTAGAAGCATGCTTCATGTTGGGATCCTACTAAATATTTCATAACGTTGAAACTGCTTTCTTTTAGCTGCATTGATAAAGCTTTTGGCTTCTCTAATAATTCTGGTGATATACTACGTGCCTCAAAGCCAGCTCGTCCCCTCCGGAAGGTCAGCCATTGGCGGCCAATACGTCGTGATTTCTGGAAGCATTGTCTCCTCTGCTAGAGGAGGATTCGCTAAACAGGATGCTGCATCTTTAGTTTGTATCTTCGTTGCTCAGTTGTAGGAAGGATTTTTTATCCAGTTTGCATCTTCACCTTAGTTTTAAGGTTCTCTTACTAATCTTCATACTAATCTTCATACACCTTTAGTTGGTTACGTTGGATTATTAGTGTATATGAAAACTGGGAAGTATGTGCTGAGGCCTGTGGTTACAAGAGGACCATAGAATCCTTATCACCTTGGTTGCCAACAGGCTTAGATTTTGTGCTTCATAATTTCATTGTAGTACACCTTAGTGCCTGTTACTTGTGTACCTTACTAAACTTTGTAATGTTCCAGTTACCCCGCGTGAGCAACAGCAATCAACTGCGACCAACTACATGTTAACTCATTATATTTTTAAAATAGTTCCTTTACCTCATGCAAACTCAGTGAGACTACTCATATGTGAGCCTTTCTGCACCACCTATCTACACTCTGCACCGTCCTCCACTGTCTTCAAATTGCCCTATCTGCTCCTGCTGTTGCTATAGGTGGGACAAGGCTGTGTTGCAAAACAGGAGAGGGTGCAGGTAATCTTCGTTTTGTATCTGTGCATGCTCATTTCCTTCCTGTGCTTCTTCAGGTAAATGTAATTGCCTAATTAGATTTATTTTGCTATAATTTTCAACTGATGCTTTAAGTTATGAGCAGATTTATTATTTTCCTTACTGGGTACAGGAGAATGGAGATGACCTGGACGGCTGGACCTTGAGTTGATAGCAGAATGGATGGATTTTTTTCAATTGTGCAATCTCAAGGACTTCCTCTTTATACCAACAAGGTACACCATTTTAATTTGATTCTGCATGTTGGGTCACATTTAAGCCATGCGATGTCTTCCTCTTTATACCAACAAGGTACACCATTTTAATTTGATTCTGCATGTTGGGTCACATTTAAGCCATGCGATGTCTTCATGTTTGATAGAAA